CCAGCAGGAGGATAGTGCCGTCTGTTTCGGGAGCAAGGTCCCTAGTCAAAGACACGGCGGATGTATTGCCAATCGGGTAGAAACGGTAGCGGCCGGGCCAAAACAGAGGAAGTGCCATTGAAAGACTCGGGGGCGCCTTATCGACGTGGACCGCTTCAAGGAGATGAACGTGGGATCTCATACGTATACGAGTATAAATAGGGCTTCGACCCGTCCCCGTCGCTGACGGGTACGGGTCCCGTCGCGACGGGTCGGTACCCGGCCGTCGCGAGATTTTTGGGTGACGGGTCGGTTAAATACTGGGCTGGGCCTTTCTCTCTGGTGATTATACCCATACTATGGATGAATGCTGCAGGTTTAATAGGGTCGTTCACACCTCCCCTTTTTCACGCCCTTTTTCGCTCCCTTTTTCGCCCTTTTTGCCATTCTCTTCGTTTTTTGCCCGGTTTTTTTTCCCTTTTTCAATTAGAAGTACAAAAAGGGTAGAACACCGAAAAAAACGGGGTCCTACATGCAATTCTGGGGAAATGCGAAAAAAAAGGGCACGAAAAAGGGCAGGTGTGAACGCCCCGGTCTGGGACTCCCTTTTTCCATTCTTTTTGGCTCCCTTTTTGGCTGCCTTTCTCCATTGCATGCAGCCTGGGTGTTCATATTGTTCCTCAAAGGTCACATACCACTTCGAATGTTCAAAAAGGACTTGGGTGAATTTTTCTGGATTTTATAACACATTATCTCTCAGGCATGAAAAAGGGCGCAAAAGGGGAGCAAAAAGGGGAGCAAAAAGGGAGCAAAAAGGGCGACTGTGAACAACCCTAATTATGAATCAAAAGTCGACAACCCTTCTGGAGCGAGAACATACCCGTCAAAAACGGGTGACGGACGGGTGCACCCATTTTTACCCGTCAAAAAAACGGCCGTTTTTGGACCCGGCCGTCTGACGGGACGGACGGGTCGAAGCCCTAGATAACAGTATAAATAGTAGCAGTCCGTTTTCTTGATTTTTTTGTGGTAGCAATTGCAGCTATTTGAGTCTACTTCATCGTTCGTACAGAGTCGTCGTACAGTCGGCACTTGAGGAGCCTCGATGAGTGTTTTGTCAGTTCCTGGGCCATTGGAATGTTGAAGTTGGGAGTCAACGCAAGTTTGGGAGACACCCGATTATCTGGCTTTTTGGTGAACATGGTCTATTATAGCTAAGAAATCACAATATTATGAGTCGGAGCCAATCTCCAAGAAACAAAGATGTGTAGAACGAAGGGCGGCGCGCCGCGTGAGATCACCCCGGATGTTGCCGGAAATTATTGATACAGCTTGATAACGTATCCAATGCAGCGGTGCGCCGTGCACCACGTCCGCTTGCTACACTCATTTTCTCAAGCTGCTAAGCAGCATGATTTATTGAGGTTAGGCAGATGTCTCGGAGTCAATTCTTAAATTATTGCTGGCCGCAATTTTAAGAATAATTGACTGCAATTGGCAGTGGTACCGCAAGTGATGTTAGAGGCCGGTTGGCCGTTGAATCAAAGAAGGAAAAAAAAAAATCACAGCTCAAATGCGCATGCGGACGTGGGGAGTCGAACCCCTTCAGCTGCTTAATTTTTATTTACCATCATCAGCCTATAAAATGCCGTGGTGCAACATGCACCACATCTGCTTGCTACTCTTGTTTATTCAAGCTGCTAACTTGGGTGATTCTATTGGGGATGAGAGGCGAATGGCTTTATTTATCTTGGACTTGTCAAGATGATTAGTTACAGTGTCTGCCATGTAGCACGTCTGTAAGTCCGTTTGAAAAGGGTTGAAGTGTTGAATCGCGAGATAGAGACAAAGAACAACCAAAAAAAAAAAAAAAAAGCTGGATCGAGATGTCATGCGGACGCGGGGAGTCAAACCCCGTCGGCTGCTTCAATTTCCCGTTTCACAAGACCACATAAAATGCAGCGGTGCACCACGCACTACATCCGCTGCCTGCTCTCAGTTCCCCAAGCTGCTAACATAGATGATTTTTATTGCTGGGGGGAATAGGGATAATTGAGCCGTGTGTTTAAAGTAGTAGACCGTTGACTGTGGCAAAAAAAAAAACGCCGTGGAAGTTGTAAGCGGACGCAGGGAGTCGAACCCCGATAGCTGCTTCAATTTTTGTTGGTGGATCCGTCTAATGAAGTGCAGCGGTGCACCGTGCACCACGTTCGCTTCATATCCTCATTCCTCAAGCTACTAGCTAGGATCATTCTATTGGCACGATTAGTTGAAAAAGGTGGTTAGATGTCTCAGAGTCAAAACTTTTTACTGAATGGAATTGTGGGGATTATTGAGTCGCGGTTTGAAAGCGGTTGAAATGTTGAATTGCGAGACAAGAAGGGGAAAAGAAAGAGCTCTGACTGATGCATGCAGACGCGGGGAATCGAACCCCTTCAACTGCTTCAATTTTCGGTTTCCCGTACACATGAAATGCACGGGCACCAGGTCCGCTTGCTGCCCTCATTTACTCAAGCTGCCAAGTAAGAGGATTTTATTGGGGTCGTGAGATGAAAAAGAGGCATAAGATGCCAAACCCGAGTCAAACCTTAACTTCAACTGGATGGAATTGAGGGCTTATGTTGTCCTGTTGAACTGTTGGATTGTGAGAAAGAAAAAAAGAACAAAAGAACTCAACGAATGACTATGAGGACGTGGGGAGTCGAACCCCAGCAACTGCTTCATTCCCATACCGACAACACATGGAGTGCAGCGGTGCGCCGTACACCTCGTCCGCTTGCTACTCTTGTTTGCTTGAGCCTCCAAGTTGAATGATTTATTGGGATGAGAGGTGAATGACTGCTTTATTCATCCTGGAATTGTCGAGATAATTAATTGACTACAGAATTCTGCACTGGACCGCCTCTGGAAAGTCATGTCAGAGACCAGTGGACCATTGAATCGCGGGACCAAAAAAAAAAGAACAGGATCAAAATACCATGCGGACACAGGGACTCGAGCCCCGACAACTGGTTTAATTTTCTCAAATCCCAAATGAAATACAATAGTGTCGTTCAAAGTTAGCCTTTTCGCGTTCCTTTTCGCGCTCCTTTTCGCCTCCTTTTCGCCATTTTTCTGCCAAAAATGCGAAAATGAAACAAAAAGGAGAACAAGTAGGAGCGCGAAAAGGCGAACTTTGAAACCCCTGTATTTTCCAAGAAGGAAGTCAGTAGGAGAATGTTCCTCCTCTTCAGCACATTTCGGCAGGCATCGGCAAGGGATCTGCCGTCTGAAACTCCAAGCCAGCCGAGCAGGCGATCAGTGCGCCCGTGTTTGTCTCAGAACATGTGAGCTGCTCCGGTCTTGTTATCAGTGCCTGCAATGATCTCATCATGTCTCAAATTGAGGTGCTATAGCTGCTTTCGCGACGGGGGAGCGGTTACTGCCCCCGTGAGTGGCACTGGATTTTGCGAGTGCCTTTTGACGCGTTTTTTTTGGAGAGGTTCAGCCCATGGGACAAACAAATGGTATTCACTGACAATGAGGTAGTAGCTAATAGGATAGAGAAGGTGCGATGAGAACGTGTGGAGGGAAAGGACAAAGGGAATGATGGGATCAAAGTCCGGTGCGGAGTTCTAAATCTCGGTACAAGAAGGAGGACAAGTAGGACGACGAAAAGGAGCATTTTGGCGAAAATGGCCTTGCGAGCTCATTTTCGCAAAAATGCTCCTTTTCATGGTTCCTACTTGTCCTCCTTCTCGGTTCAGGAAGATGAAAAGGAAAGTAAAAAGGAGACCGAAAAGGAGACAAAAAGGAGAACTTTGAACGACGCTAATGGTGCACCTCGCGCCACGTCATTCCTCAAGCTGCTAACTAGGATGGCTTTATAATATAAGCCAATTGGTGCCATGCGAACAAAAGAGCCATAAGATGGATCAGAGTCAAACTTTTTTTTTCACTGGATGTAAATTTAATATCGAGTCCTGCTTTGAAAGCAGGGGACAATTGAATTGCGTGACCAAAAAAAAAGGAACAAAAAAAAAAAACCGTTGTCACCAAACGCGGACGAGGGGACTCGAACCCCTGATAGCTGCTTCAATTTTGGTTTTCTTTACCCCGCATAAAATGAAGTGGTGCCCACGCACCACGTCCGAGTTCCAATCCTTCGTGTAACTTGGATTAGCCGCGATTTTATTTTGAACCACGAAGAGAAAGAATAAAATAAAAATCTGATTCTCCGAGTCACCGAACGCGGATGCGGGGAGTCGAACCCCGACAGCTGCTTTACCAATCGCTAAATTAAATGAAGCGGTGCACCACGCACCACATCCGCTTCCTACCCTCATTTGTTCCTTCTCGTAGGTGCGAAAAAAAATAACTGCAAGCGGGATACCGAATGCGGACGCGGGGAGTCGAACCCCTTCAGCTGCTTCCTGAGTTGAATGATAAACTATCTGATGCAGCGGTGCACCTTGCACCACCTCCGCTTTCCTCTCTCAATCACTCAACCTGCTAACAGGAGGATTTTATTGGCACGATTAGTTGAAAAAGGTGGTCAAATGTCTCCGAGTCAAACTTTTTTTTTGTTTTACTGGATGGAACTGTTGGGATGATTGGCGACAGCGGTCTGTCAGGAGTCTGTAAGTTCTGTTTGAAGGCAGTGGACCGTTGAGTTGCCAGACAGAAAGAAAGAAAGGAAAACAACAATAAGAAATTTGTCGGACCAGCAGAATACGGACGCGGGGAGTCGAACCCCCGCAGCTGTTGCAATTTTTGGGTTCCCTTACACATGAAATGCAGCAGTGCACCATACACCACGTCCGCTTCCTACCCTCATTTCCTTAACCTGCTAGGTAGGAGAATTTTATTGGTGCTGCGAGCGATCCCGCGCTAGTTGCTTTTTTCATCCTGGAATTGTCGGGATCCCGGATAATTGGCTACTGCGATCTGTATGTCATAACGTTTCGAGCCAGTGGACCGATCGTTGAATTGCGGGGAAATTTAAACCCAAACCAAAAAAAAGGCCAGTGGAGCCAGAACAGTGCGGACGCAGGGAGTCGAACCCCGGTAACTGCTTCGATTTTCTTTCCCAATCTCGAAATGAAATGCAGCGGTGCACCGTGCACTACGTCCGCTTCCTACCCTCATTTACTCAACCTGCTAACAGGAGGGTTTTATTGGTGCTGTGACGTGCACTCCAAAGCTATCATAAACAGACAGGTGGCCAAGCCAAAATCCTTTGTTCTACATTTAAACAAGGAATGGGATGGAACTGCAAGGATAGAGTCATGGTTCGAAAGCTTGAAGAGTTGAAAGAAAAAAGAAATAAAAAATTCGAATGAGGGGGAAAGCAGACGCGGGGAGTCGAACCCCAGCAGCTGCTCAACCCTGAGGGCCATCACCAATGAAATGCAGCGGTGCACCACGCACCACGTCCGCTTCCTATCCTGGTTTTCTTGAGCTGTAACTGGAATAATTTTATTGGGGATGAGAGGTGAATGGCTGCTTTTTTCCGTCCTGGAATTGTCAAGATATTTGGCTACAGTGTCTGTAATGTGGCATATCTGTAAGTCCGTCTGAAAAGGGTTGAACTGTTGAATTGCGAGATAGAGACAAAGAACAACCAAAAAAAAAAAGCTGGATCGAAATGATGCTGCGGACGTGGGGAGTCGAACCCCGTCAGCTGCTTCAATTGCCGATATTCATACCATATGAAATGCAGCGGTGCACCGTGCACCACGTCCACTTGCTACCTTCATTCCTGGGTAGAAGAATTTTATTGGTGCTGTGAGGTCAAAACAGCTAACACCACTGGCTGCCTTTTACGTCCTGTTATTGTCAAGAATTGCCAAGATAATTATTTGAATAGAGTGTCTGTTATGTACCACGTCTGCAAGTCTTGTTTGGGGTCAGTGGGCTATCGAATTGCGAGACAGAAAAGAAAAGAAAAAGGCCTTTGATGTTGCCAAACGCGGATGCGGGGAATCGAACTCTGTCAACTGCTTCATTCCAGTACCTCCCACACATGGAGTGCAGCGGTGCGCCGTGCACCACGTCCGCTTCCTGCCCTTGTTTCCTCAAACCGCTGGCTAGGAGAATTATTTCTCAGAGTCAAACCTTGAATTCTTTCTGGATGAAATTGTGGGTATAATTGAGTCCGGATTTGAAAGCAGTTGTACTGTTGAACGGTGGACCCGTGCAAAAAGAAACAAACAAAAAATCAATTCCCAACTACGCATGCGGACGTGGGGAATTGAACCCCGGCAGCTGCTTTACTGATTGTATTTTTTGGTCAGTATGAATGCAGCGGTGCCCTGCACCAGATCCGCTTCCTACCCTCATTCCTCAAGCTGCTAGCTAGATGAGTTTCATTTAGTGCTGTGAGGTGCAAAGCTATCATAGACAGATGGCCAAGCCAAAATTCCTGGACTTTTGTTTAACATTTAAAGAAGGAATGGGAGAAGACTGCAAGGATAGAGTCATGGTTCGAAAGCTTGAAGAGTTGAAAGAAAAAATAAAAGAAATCTGATTGAGTGGGAATGCGGACGCGGGGAGTTGGAACCCCTTCAACTACTTCAATTTTATTTCCGGATTTCTCCCTAATGAAATGCAGCGGTGCACCGTGCACCACGTCCACGCTCCAATCCTTTGTGCAACTCAGATTAGCCTCAAATTTGCGTTGAGCCACGAAGAAAGAAACAAAAAAAAATCTCCGGCCACAGTGCGGACGCAGGGAGTCGAACCCCTTCAACTGCTCCATTCCAGCACCTATAACACCTGGAGTGCAGCGGTGCACTGTGCACCACGTCCGCTTCCACCCTCATTTCCTTAAGCTGCTATCTGGGATACAGTGATTTTATTAGTGTTGTGAGCCATCCCGCACTAGTTGCTTTTTTCATCCTGGAATTGTCGGGATCCTGGATAATTGGTTACGGCGATCTCGTATGTACCACCTCTGCATAACGTTTCGTGCCAGTGGACTGACCGTTGAATTGCGGGGAAATTTTAACCCAAACCAAAAAAAAAAAAAAAAAAAAGGCCAGTGGAGCCAGAACAGTGCGGACGCGGGGAGTCGAACCCCGGTAACTGCTTCGAATTTCCACTTTTTTCTAGCTCAGGCAAGGTAGTATAGTGCGTAGACAGGATTTGTGTTCGCGCGGCTGTTTAGATCAGACACATCAGATCTACACAGCCACTCCTTTCCTCTGCTCCCGCCGCGTCCTCAGAAACGCGCTTCACGCCTTTCTATCGTCCTCAAAGCTTCTTTTTTGTCCCACCCTCCCACTCCTCTTGTCTTCTTCCCACGCTTGGGTTGCTTTGGGTCTCTTTCTTCTGACCCTTGGTGGCCCTTGTGTACGGGTTCGGCCCCGCCTGCGTTCCGCTCTGTCCCGATCCGCTCTTCCCCGCTGCCCTGCTTGCAGCCCGGGAAGTCCCGATCGGCCAGGACGGCCGAACCCCCCCGCATACACCACAAAACTCGTCGTTACTCTCCTCCCAGTGGCGTCTCATCCCACTCTCACAAATCCCTCCACAAGCACGTAGACTACCTTGCCCGATGAAATGCAGCGATGCACCGTGCACCACGTCCGCTTCCACCGTCATTTCCTCAATCTGCTAGCTAGATGAATTTTATTGGGCTGTGACGTGCACACTGCAAAGCTATGATAGACAGACAGATGGCCAAGCCAAAATCCTTTGTTTTACATTTAAACAAGGAATGGGATGGAACTGCAAGGATAGAGTCGTGGATCGAAAGCTTGCAGAGTTGAAAGAAGAAGAAAAAACTGACCGAGTGGAAATGCGGACGCGGGGAGTCGAACCCCAGCAGCTGCTTCAATTCTTGGTTTTCCATTCAAATGAAATGCAGCGGTACGCTGTGCACCACGTCCGCCTTTCCTCCTGCTCTCGTTATGTCTTTGTATGGGTGAGATGAACATCAGCGCTCACGGGGATGAGGAAAACTGCGCTCCGCCAAGCGGGCAACAACGGGTTATGTTTGCGGGATCCGAGTCTGGTATGACATTCGTTGGGTCATCTTGACTCCCGAGTTGCGCGCGAAGATCCAGTTTTATTTTTTCCAACTGTAAGGTTCGGAGTGCTCGTCGAGTCGTTCGAGTTGAACGTTGCACGACACTCGGCGCTGTCGTAACATCATACCTCATCATTACCGACAGTCCGCACTGATATGTTCCAGCTCGATGTTGGAGGTTTGTCAGGGAGATCCGATGTGCTCGGTGAATAGAGGGAAAGAAGCTGAGAAACAGGAATCTGGTGTGGGTGTTCTAAAGATAATGAACTTAAATGAAGCCACAAAGCAGAAGAGAGACGGACGAGAAAGGCTGAATTGCAATGACACACGCTGTCTAGTTATATATAGATTGTCGGCACCAATTCGGCAACATCGCAGCAACACACGGTCACCACGCCGATTAGGTCTCTAATTCCTTTTTCTCATCTGTACTCCACCTTTCCCTTCTACATACCCTTTCACCATGGCCCGCCTCCGCCCATTCCTCGCCCTCCTCGCCCTCCCACTCGCCCGTGCCGCCATAACAGTCTACCAAGCCCCCGGCCAAGCTGCCTTCGCCACCGGCTCCGCCTCCGCCGCAGCGTCCGCCTATATGGACGCGGCGGCGTACAACCCCACCACGCTCGTCGCGCCGCCCGTCCCCACCCCCACTGTCCCCAGTAGCTTTCAAATACAGCTGAATAATGGGGGGACGCCGGGGGTGAGCATCGTGCAGGGGGAGGGATTTCGTGGGGTTTAGGACTGAGATGAGTGTTAGTAACCAAGTTTGTGAGTTTTCTTTTGTCTGTGTGCTCTCGACTCCCTCGACTCCCTCCTTTGGGCCAGAAGGGAGGGTCTAGGGATGGTAAATTGACGAAGGCGGCAGTGGGCAAGAACGCGACGCACATCCAGGTGCCGTTCCTCAATCTCATGGCCAATATCCAGCAGCGCGCGGGGTCGGTGCGCGTACGCGTTGGTGGGAACTCGCAGGCGCGTCTTGTACTCTTCTCCCTTCCCTAGCCATCCTGCTCTTTTCCTCCCTTCCCTTCCCTTCCTCTCCCATCGTCCTTCTTCCTTGTTTTCCCTTTCCTGCCCCGCCTTCCTGCTCTCCCATCCTCGTCGCATTTTCAAAAGAGCTCGCTAACCCCCACCAACCCAGGAATCAGCCACCCTCGTCCCCGCCTCCTCCATCCCCGACGGCAAGATCCTCCAAAAGAACTTCACCGGCGTCACAGGCACGACGCAGACCCCGCCGTTGGAGTATAGCGATGAGTTGTTTTATATGGTGTGTTTTTTTTCTCTTCTTCATTTCATTTGTGAGGGAGGATGGCGAGGAGCGCGTGCGGGGACAACGAGATGTCGAGTCTGCTCTTTGGCGTCGTGCGCAAAGCACGTGTCGTCGATGCCTCGACCCCGATACACCGCTGGGGCTGGGGCGGGAGTTAGCGTAGCGCACGTCTACGAGACGTTGTCTACGCCGTGTGCCTGGACCCCTCGACGTCTCGACGGCTTGACGCCGCTGAGCGCGCGCCTATGAGGAGGCGAGTCGCATAGCGCGCGTCTTGCCTTTCGATGAGAGCATCCAGTCGAGGATGGGGTGTAGAGACGAGCTCGACGAGCCTCGAGCAACGACCCTGAGCCTTGATTCACGAGCGTAGTCGACCCTCGTTTCTCGTTTCTCGAACGCGCCTGTATTTGTGGGCGAGCCGGGTGGGGGCATGTGCGTGTGCGAGGCGGTGTGCATCGGCGTCGATGGCGCGATGGTGACGAGTACGCGTCGGTGGCGAAGATGTGCGCGACGGAGTGGGCGGCGCGCGGGGTGGGCTCGTGCTCGGGCTTAGTTTGCACGTCGACAGATGCGCCTCGACGCCAGACACGGCTCTGCTGCGGCGAGAGTTAGCATGCGTCTACGAGACGAGACGGTGACGAGCGCTCAAGCCCAAGGCGTACCTTGCAATATGACCATCCGATGCCGATGCGTGGTGGAGGCGCTGGTGCGGATGCCCTCGACGTCGAATACTGCCCTGGGCTGGAGCGTTAGCGCACTCCTATGTACGGGACGAGACGTCGACGGGTATCGAGGCGCTTACTTCTGGTGAAGCTGGTCCGAGTAGCACTTGATCCAAATCAAATCGACTCTTTTTGCCGCTCGATGTTGTGTGCATTCAAGTTTCCCTTGCGATCATATTGCATTTCCTATTTCCAGACCTACGACGATCTTGTTCTTTACGTTGTGCCCTGTATCACACTTCCATGCTTTAAATTGTTGGCCCAAGGAGCTCATACGGCGGCATACTCGCGCGCTATCTCCTTATTCTCATTGTTCCTTCTCTCCGTAGTTTCGATATTCCGGAACTATTCCTGGGCCAAACTCTGTTCCCTCGCTAAATCGTTATCTCGAAATCCGACTAAGAAATACATATCACGCGTC